TGGTGAATTGCCATAGGTTCTCACGCAGCAGCCCCTTGGTCGTCCTCTTCTAGGATGGTGAATTGCCATAGGTTCTCACGCAGCAGCCCCTTGGTCGTCCTCTTCTAGGATGGTGAATTGCCATAGGTTCTCACGCAGCAGCCCCTTGGTTGTCCTCCTACCATGCATCACGTTGGCCAGAAGTTGAGGGAAGGATGAGCTCTACGCGTGGAAGGATGAGGAAAATGTCCCACCGCTCTTAATCACTGGGCCTTTCATTTCTAAACAGTCATATTTTTTTACGAGGAGCTTCATAGTCCTCCTTCGCCGTTTCTGTCCTCTCCTGGACAAAAAGGACTAATTCTTTTCAGAACACAATGGGAATTCAAAGCTCCACTTACATAAAAGGAGCCGCGGCGTCTCCGTTTCTAATGAGTCATTGTTCCCTCTGTAAATCCCTGGCTTCTTACTCCAATCCTCGCTTCTCTTGGGTAATGAAAATTTAACTATCTGCCGTTCCCAGTTGCCTCTTCTCTTCCTGCAGCAAGTTGTCTGCGGGCAGGCTGCTTTTTACACAGGAGGCTGCGAGCTGAAATAACTCAGACGAGAACTCGTGCAAACAGATTTCGGTCTTCAGAGAGCTCCGGAAGCCGGTCGCCGCGTCGGGCTTCGGCGATGGAAGGAGCTTCAAGGTCCTGCTGCGTCGCGGGCGCCTGGGCTGACCTTGGCAGCGTCGCCGTGTAGGTGCCTCCCGCTGGTTTCTGGGTTGCAAAATGGGGTTTTTTTTGGTCCTGCTCGCCGTGTGCGGGTGTTGGGGCTTCTCTGAAGAGGAACACCGCGGCGCTGGCAGCGTGGCTTCGCTTGGAAGCCGCAAGCGTAGCAGAGCCTCAGCCTTTGTTTGAAAGAACAAGGCAACGTTACAGAGAAACACTGAAAAACAGGAGCCGCAGGTGCAAAACCCATTAAGGAAATGTAAAGAGATCCAAGGTGGTTCTCTCTTTTTTTTCTGTTTGTTTTTTTTTTTTTCTTCCTTATGCTTTTATGACATGCTTGTGACTTCAGAAGGATCCTGCCTGTGATTTTTTTGAAAGCAGGGTTAGCATTATTGCCCGCTTGCCGTTCACAGTGGGCCCTTTCTTCTCCCATTTTTGTTCCTGCCGCTGAGGGTTTCAAGAGCTGCGAGAAGTGTCCCTGACTTTTGTTTTAGAGAGATTTCCTCCAGGAAGACGGGAGATCTGGAGATCTCCAGATCGTCTGAACATGAGGAAGAACTTCTGCCCTCTGAGGGTGGCCCAGGCTGCCCAGGGAGGCTGTGGAGTCTCCTTCTCTGGAGATATTCCAGCCCCGCATGGACGCGGTGCTGTGCAGCCTGCTCTGGGTGACCCTGCTTGGGCAGGGGGTTGGGCTGGGTGACCCACAGGGGTCC